TTTTTTTTTTTTACTGAAAATCTACAATTGGCCCAAGGGCATTTTGGTTTAATATACAAAAGCCCTGTTAACTTTACTGGCCAAAGGGGGGCCGCCGGCTCAAATGCTTTTGGCCGACCTTCGGAAAACGGCAAGCGCAAGCCCCATAAAACAGGCCCGCCCAATGGAGAGAGAGAAATTTGATCTCATCAGCGATTTGTTGACCCTGAAAGGCGACCGGGCAGCCCCACGGCCGGCATTGGCAGCAGCCAGTCGGCGGGGCGAAATCGCACTACCCCAAAAGGGGCATTTTGGGCGGGACGCTTCACAGGAAGAATAGGGGGATTTGCTTTCGCAGGAGGTGTATATCGGTACTCTTTCCCTTTCTTGGGTTCATCGGCGCCTCGGGATCAAGGCGCTGAATCGGTTTGGTGCGTTGTGGGAATTCGCGGGGCGCCCCGCCGAGACGCCCCACAGAAGGAGGGGAATCGCAATTGCGCTTTTCGGAATGGAGTCTTTTGATGGCCGGTCCTATAGTGTAGCGGTTATCACCTCGGACTCTGAATCCGATAACCCTGGTTCGAGTCCAGGTAGGACCATCTTTTTGGGATCTCAGGGAAATCCCCTGCCAAGCACGCCGCCGACATAGAGTAAGTAAACGGCCTGGCATGCATTCCTATATTTCCCTGGCCCCGTATTTCTTTGGTTCCGCGGCCAATTATCGTTTTTTTCTTTTGGCTTGAATGCGGTGCCTTCCCAATCGAGCGTAGCACGTTGTGCCGTAATGCCCGATTTGGCCACAACGGCAACGCCGCGCTTTGCTTGGGGGTGGTGTGCTTGTTGGCTTTCTGATCCGCCTAAAAAGCAAGGCTGCCCTCTCGCAGGGAATTGCCCAAGGCGTTGGCGAGGGTCTGGGTCTGCACGCCGGGATGCTCCCGCTCTGCGCGTGCGGCGCGCAACTGATAAAACAGCCGCCTGCCCGTTTACATTTTTTTTCGGTGGGTATTCCTTCGTGGCGGGTGGAATATGCCCAAGCCGCAAAAATTGCCCCACGCTTGTTCCAGAACAAAACCAGGTTTCATAGGTAACGGAAAAATACCACAATATGCCGCCAGCAATTGCCCTGGTGACGTCTCCAGCAAATACCCAAATGCACCTTCAACGAACCGAAACGTCGCACGTGCATCGTCGAAAGCCATGGTAAAATCCTCAATCTTGGGCATGTTAAAGGGCACCATGGGGTGCCGCAAAGAAGCAAAGTTTGCCTTTCTGCCATTGTCTAAATGAAGGGTGCGTTCACCGTTTTCAATGGTCGAAGAACCCTCGGCGTGATTCACCTGCGTACTAAAAAATGGTCTGTAATCACATGAAAAAGACGTCTGACCTCAACGCCCCACAAACGCACTGAGAGCCGTTTGCCCGTCACCCATTCCACGCCCAAGAGGGATTTTTGGACCGTGTTAAATATTGTGCCAAGTTGTTTGTGGCCTAGCTTTGTTTTCAAAAGTTACACTTTGCGACACTTTCTGTACTTTGTATGTATGGAATAGACCGTAAGATTATGGTGGCTTGGGTTCCTATATCAAATGGGCACGGCTTGGCCATTCTTTTCACAGGCCCCCGGAACGGCAACGGATTTTCGGACGGCCTCGTCGACAAGGCAGCAGCAACAGAAAAATGCTTTACGAAAACATGCGGCATAAGACGCCTTGAGATATTTGGCCTTAGCTAGCCGCCCGGCGGATGAGATATCTTTAGGAAAGGCCGCGCAGGGCGTTGGCTTCGCAAGGGGGCCTTGCTTGTGAAGAGGGGCGGTGACGCAGGGTGTGGCTTTAAGGCTTTTTCGACGCCTACCTTTTTGTCTGGGCAACTGACGGTTTCATAGACGGGACGCCCCTTGGGATCCCTTTTAGGGACATTGAAACGACCACAATGTCCTGCTAAAAAGAAGGCGCGGAAAAGTATTGTATGTTCTCCCACATTGCTCCCAGTTTGTTTCCATCAGAGAAACGAAGGCAAACATTCTTCCCTTATGTATTGTGTGTGTGGATATGGATTTGGATGGCCCAGTGTTTCTTTCTCTTTGCGAATGCCTTTTGGGAGTGTTCCCATTCATGCTTGTCATTCCGATTTTGTTTGGCGTTGCGTTTTTATCGAGGGGAATGCGGAAACAACGAGTTTTTAAGTATTTGCCATTTAACCTCTATCCAAATAACTTCTAGGTCTTCCGGAAAAGCAAACAACCAAAGAGGAGGGGGCTGCATCTAACTTCCTGCTTCGTCGCCGTTTGGCCCGGTAGAGGTCTTCTACGTCTTTTCCCCTTTGCAATCTCAACGCAAGGAAACAAAAGCAAAATAAAAAAAAAACAAGAGTAACGAAGAGAGGGATAGATAGATGGACGGTTAGGTAGATAGATAGATGGTTAGAGGGAGACAAACATTTTTTATCTGCGAACGGTGTGTCGGGACTGGCACGGTTTTCTTTTTTTGTTATTTCTTCTCTTTGTTTATTTTTCTTTTTGTGTTTTGCAGGGCGGCCGTCTTGGCTAGCCCCCGTGGGGTGCCGCCTTAGTGCCATCTTCAATCAAAGAGACCTGACCGTCCGTGTTGTCGTGGAGGAGGGCTACCAGCACGGATGGATCCATCCACCATGGCACAAGCAGACGGCCGCCGTCACGCACGTCACACTCTGTCCCAACGACGATCGTCAGACCCGTCTCCTCCGGCGTCGCCATGCGTGTCTTTCCCGCCTTGCGCTCGAGGATCCCACGCACACCCGCTGCTCCACAGAAAACCTTCACAAAGGAGAGGTACTGTGGGAGTGGAAGTGTTGGTTCTCTCGTGACATAGCCAACCCCAGCCTCACTCACTATTCGGTTGCATTCCTTATTGAGCGAGGACTGTTCCACAATTTCCTCGAGCCACTCTCGAAAGGCGGCGCCGTTTTCCATCTCCACGTGGGTAATGACTACATCATCCGTCCCATCCTCACCCTCCCCAACCCATCCGGCAAGCACCTCCCCGTCCGATGGGCGTTCATCATGGTGCGCGGCATGTGGGTGTGGCTTGTATGGGAAACAATTGTAATACACGTTGACGGCGTTCATTGCAGGAACGTGCGGCGCCAAATAGACACGATGCTCGTGTACATGCCGCCAAAAAGCATATTCCTCGGATGTATTCATGGAAAATATACGCGGGAAGCAACGAATTGGTCCCCGATACCGATACTCGATGTGCTCATCCTCCTCTTCCTTTACAGCATTGCCGTCATGTTCGACTTCGCCACGATAGTTATGCCTTAATGGAACGCCACAACTACATGGTTCCATATTTGTTGTCACGCCATCGGTGTTCGGTTCCTCCGCCTCATTGCCGGCTCCCGCCTTGTCATCCACCGAAACTGCCCCACCATCTTTGGTCTGCAGTTCTTGTAGTGGAATAAACTCCTCTTTTACGACTTTTTCTCTCACCTCGAGGAGTTTCGACAACAGGGAAGCGGAGGCATCGGCCTGCTCAAGTACCACCTCCAATGCAGCCACCAGGCGGCTAAGGAATTCCCCGAGGTCTTTGGACAACTTCACAGATACCGCGTAACGTATCATTTCGGCAGTGCAGCATGACATGTGACGCACAACCACGTAGTCCTTGTTGATGTGATTGTTATTCTTGTCATCCGTCTCGTTGGTACGCCTCCACATCGGTCCATCATCGCCATCATCTCCCACCGCAACTTCCTCCGTGTTCTCCACTAGTGGTGTGTTATTGTCCCACATTAATGTGATGTTACCTTCAATATGGGGCGCCGTTGCGCGGGCCAAATACCGACATCGATTGATCCCATCAGCTATTCTCCATCCGTATTGTTTGTCAGGGTTATCATAACTGGTATCACCCTCGTTTCCTTGAGGTTTTTCGTCACAATGATAACACAAACCACATACCAGCTTTTGTAGCGTGAGGGAAACTTTCTCAGACACATCCTTTGGAAGGTGCAAATGATGCATTACCGCAAGACAGTGCTCATTAAGATCTAGCATACTGGAGAGAATGGATGTGGTGTCTACCATCGCTAATTCCAACTGTAAACGCTCATAGCTCGCTGCTTCCCAAACCCCTATTTTCTCTGTGATGTTACCAATTGAATCCGATGGATAAATGGTACATATAAGTTCCTCACATATCTGAATATCCTCCCGTGAGACGGCACCACATGTGCTTCTGTTGTTGTTCTTGTTGCTGCTGCTGCCATGAGTATTGGGCTGTGCTTCGCTTCCCTTTTGACTATATGAGCAATCAGTAGCAGCCTTGAATTTTGGATCCTGGTCAAAGAGAAGCGCACCAACGAGAACGAGGGGCTTCATTGCCATGTCCTCAATGCGCTGCTCACGGGGCCGGCTACCCGTCCCGACCCCCGCGTTCGCCTTGGTGTGCGTATAGCGCACGTATTTTTTTCGCCCCTTCACCACACGACTGACAATGATAGGAAGATTCTTCGAAAAGCGCAGGACGCAGTGTGACATCGCCTCGACATACCTCGCATTGAAGAACGCCACAGCCTCAAATAGCACACACGATCTCCCACACAATACCTCTGGAAGCTCATTGCAGAACTGCTTCACACGCCGCATCGCAGCGGCCTCTGTCTGACACACAGACGACACGTACTCCAGAGAGGGGGAGAAAAATGGGTCTTGCCGCACATTATCGTTGCTGCGCTTTCCCTCATTTGCGGCGTCCCGGTACGTGTGGTACGCCGCGATGGCATGCCGCAGCGCATCCAGCACACTCTGTGAATCATACGACGCAGCCGTCGTGGTAGCTCCTGCAGGGCGGCGCATTTCAAGGGACTTCAGCGCGACGCGGAGGGCCTCAGAGAGACGGCGGAATTTCTCGGTGGCGTCAGGGTCGTCGGGGCATAGATCGGGGTGGCAGCGCAGCGTTTGCGCAATGTACGCCTTCTTCACATGGGCGTGGGTGATGTCCGCCGAGGGGGCGAGGCCCAGCGTCGTGAGCGCCGCACGTGACGTCATCGCACGGGTCCATGCGCTACGCGAGAACATTTCCCCCTTCCTCAACCCACCTCTCTTAGCAGCATTGGCAATAGCAGTGGCACCGGAAATGAACCAGCAGAGGGAGAAGCGAGTATTATTAATCCGCGCCTCCACGAGGGAAGGGGGGAAGAGAGAGAGAGAGAGAGGGAGAAAGAGGAGGCACGCTGCCGCAGAGGAAAAAAAGGGGGGAAGGCAAACAACTGCGAAAAAAACGACAACAACAACCCACAAGCACACAATAGGAACATACGAAGCAGAAAAAAAAAGGACACAAACAGTGTACACTGTGATTTGCACTTGCAAACGAAGACGGCAAACTACACTGCCTATCCCTCTGTTTGGTTCTCATCGTCGTCAGATTCGTCCTCGTCGCTCTCGTCAGCCACGGAAGAGTGAAAAAACACCTTGCTCGATACAAACGCTTCCTCCAATGTGGCGTATTCTCGAATTGCGTAGTCCACCATTGTGGCGGTAAGGTGCATGTTGTTAATTTCCTCATCTTCGTGTGGTGCATCCCTCCAATGCGGTTTTTTGCGGCTCTTCACCTCATTGTTGCGCTGTGAAATTCCCTGCTGCATCGCCTGGAGGCGCGCCGCGTAGTGCTTTCGCACGCACTCGAACCAATGGAGGGATTCAAACGGCTCCGACACACCAAACAACTTCAGTAGGAAAGCGCAGCCGAGGGCGAAGCCGTCATCGGTGAATAGACCATCCTTATTCTTCTTCACCAGCTGCTCCTTCTCGCGTATCATAAGCTCCACCTGCAGAACGCAGATGGGCGGGATGATCATGTGGAAGTTCTTCAGGTGGCTGTACTTCTCCGCCCCCTTCAACCGCTTCGTTACGGCCTCGAGCAGCATGCGGAAGTACTCGGAGCCGTCCGACAGCTTCTTACGCATGTTCTGAATGACGCGATCCACCACACGCACAGCCTGCACCGTGCACGGCGGTGCTTTTGCAGTGTCGTCCTCCTCTTCCTTCCCCTCACTTCTCTCCCTTTCTTCTTCTTCCTCCTCCTCCTCGTCGTCCTCGCTGCCAATAGCGTCGGGGTCAATGACGCGCTCGAGGCGAACAACGTTGTCGATGGAGGGGATGAAGATGGCGGAGTCCGCAACAGCACGGAGGCCGCCGCTGCGCATCATCCGCATGTACCCGAGCGCGTTGCCAATTTCGGACACGAGGTGACGGAACTTGTCGAGGAACGTCTGCCCGTCGTCGGCGACGCCCAGCTTGCGCATCTCCCGTATAAACTTCTCCGCCTGTGACAGCGGGTACTCACCGTTGAGCTCCTCCTTCTGGGCCTGGAACAGCTTCGCGTCCTTGATAAGGCGTGACTTGACATGGTCGTCGTAGAGGAACTGTGAGAGGATTGCGAGCTTCTTCAGGAGGCACTTGTACACGTAGTTGACCGTCGTGTTCATGATACCTGTGCCGTGTGTGCGAATAGAATTGGCTATGTGACGAATGTGCAGCGTATGAAGGTGCTTGGACTCCGTCGTCGACGGCCGCTGCACAAACAACTGCTCATTCATATTGTATGTGTAATTTGCCACAAAAACTTGTATATTCTCCGTGATCACAAGGACATCTAGGCCTTGATCAACGATGCTACCAGGCAGGTATCCATCACAGATGTGCAGCCCGTACCGCTCCAGCGCCAAGTTGCGCATCTCCTCGTACGTTTTCCAGTCATTTGCCATAAGTGCGTTTAGGTTATAGAACTGCGCATCCAAGTAGTGCTCCACTTCCGTCGCGACATGGAGCCACTCATTGAAGAAGCGAAAGGGTGCTAGCCGCGTGAAACGCGCCAAGTTTCGCGCCCTTGTCATTGGCTCAATCTTTCGGAACGGCTGCCCTAGGACGACAGAGTGAGTGCACAAGCGCAATTCATTCTCAATATCAGCGCAGAGAGGCTCAATAAGGTGCTTCCGCAGGCACTGCCATATATATCGGATGTACGCCTCCAGCAGGCCAACCGCACTATCCACGTGCTTTGAGGAGAGGATAGACGGGCGGCAGTCGTGCATCGCCATAAGAAGGTACGGCAGGTGGTCAGACTTCAACGGCTTCTGATAAAGTCGCTCAAAAAACAGTGGATAAAACGCCTCCCGCTGCCAGTAGAGGAAATCACAGTCCGTGGCAGCGTGAAGTATCGTCTGATATGAGGCTACACGATTTAACTGCGAGAAGGCGATAAGGATTTCCTCACTGTGCTTCGGTGTGATGACAGCCGCGCTCTTAGGGTTCATTTGACGCCGGTTGAAGACAGTGCTGAGGATCAGGTCGAGGCACACCAAATTCTCTGGCGTCTGTGGTTTGTGAAGAAGTGCGATGGCTTCACCAATGGCGCTATATTGATCAGTCACCTCCTCTGTACCGTTCTGAATAACATCACTCAGCCCAAGGTGCAGCTCGTAGAGATGCCGTTCCATTACATATGTAATGGAACGCAATAAAAGATTGTATGCCGCCGCCATAACTCCTGTCTTGGTGTGGTATGCGGCCCGAATCATCATAAGCAACTGCAGCCCATGGGCGATACCGTCAACGTGCTGCAGAGGAATGGCGACATCAGCGCAGTTGTGCAGGACGATATGATTAATGAGAAGCCGCTGAAGATGCTGCGCCAGTAAAACACCGCGTTGCAGAAGTAGTGTGGTGGACTGCAGGAATTTCTTGTAATGTGACGGGTCCACAGGAATTGTAGTTTCCATCTCCGCAAGCCACGCACTTACAAGTGTAGTGAGGCGATTCAGTTGCGGTATAAACTCTGTGCTACTGGTGTGACACGCCTGCTTGATGGCTGGCATCCCTTCCTTGATGGGATCCTGCTGAAAGCGACTTAACTCCACCGGCACACGGCGTGCCATCCACTCAGCGGGACGAAACAGATGCACGCCTCGAATGTAGATGACAGGCATCTGACGATGCAGGGCGAAAACACGCCTACACAGCTTGCGGCGCGTCCCTTCCTCCACCACCTGTGGAAAAAGGTACAGGTAGAGGTAGTACATACCAAGTATGCCAACGTATCGCTTCCGTGTGTCACCCTCACGTGTTGTTCCAACATTTTCCTCCACTGTGCTAAGCATCTGCTCGAGTATCTCCGTGAACTCCGTGCAGAAAAGTTTATTGATAGCCACAAGCACCACCACCCCTTCTTCTTGCGTATCAAACAACTGCATGACGAGACGCTGCAGAATCCCATCATCAAGAACCTCGCACTCAACCTTGTTTAATAGACGAGAAAAGAGCTCCATTGTCATTTCATCGTACTCGAACCGTTCACTGTTCCTAGACACCTGCGCCAGCAGCTTGCGATAGATGGAAAGACCGTGTCGGAGAGTGTCGTGTGTCTGAAGCACCTCCTCTAGACACACCATGGCACTGAAGAGGTCCGCGAGGGAGCGCCACACAAGTGGAAATCGCACCTGCGTGAAGGGGCGGTAGTTGTCGTGTTCGTGCAGCGGGGAGTAGAGCGCCGCCAGCTGCCGCACTGTCCGCAGCACCACCTTGCGCACCCGCTGCACCCAGGACCAGACACCCTGCAGCAGCCCAAGCATGCGACCGGCGCCTTGCTGCGCCTCTTCGTCGGTGATGCCCTCCTCGCGGCAGCTGTCGTCGCCAAACACCGCCAGAGGCGGGATCAGGACGTCCGTCGCCTCGGCGGCGAGCGAGTCTATCTCCGTCACAAGACTCGCGAAGCACAACGTGATGCGGTAGAAAAGCCGGTTGTGGAGCTTTGTACGGCCAAGTGTATCGGCGATGGAGACATCACGCTCCTTCAACTGGGCCGCACGCGCGCCCAGCTGCATGCACACGGTGTCGGTGTGCGGGTCCCACATCATCGGGTCCCAGCGGCGGTCGAATGTCTGCTGGATCTCCATCAGCATCTTCTCATGCCCGGTGACGAACAGCTGCAGCTTGTCGTGGAACACCTCCCGCTCCTCCTTCCCAATGTCCACGCCAAAGTCGAAGGCGGCGAGCATCACGCACGCCGCTCTTGTGACCCACAACTATCTATGACACCTTACTGGTGAAGCCGAAACCGCGACGGCAAGAGAAAAAGAGTACTCGCCAATCAGACAGAGCACACGCTGCACTGGCAAGAAGAACAACAACAGGGCTTCGCGAAGGAAAATGCATACAGAAAAAGAAAAGCATGACACAAGACAACAACAACAACAACATCATCATCATATCCATTTATCCAACCTTACCACCTCTCACCGATGTCCATTTTGACCACCACACCAAAAAAAGAACATGTCTCCTCAAATTTATTTCCTGATGACCTCAACTACCAAGAATCCGCGCCTTCTTGCGAAGCTGAATGCACTCCGACTTGCGTCGTGCTGCCGCTGCGTAGAGCGGGTGCTGCACGTATGGGCTGCGATGCGCACACGCCACACCGAGGAGACCACCACCGGATGCAATGCGCCCTACACGTTCAGGGGAACCCGCAAGGTCATCGTGCAGATGGCGCGCAGTAGCTCCAGTGTACAGGTGCATGACAATGCGCATACACGCATCGGCATGTTCCTCCGCCTCAGTGTAGCGGGCGTGGAGAAAGAGCGCTTCGCTGAGATTCCGGTGGGACGCAGCTGTGTCCAGGTGGCAGTCACCAAGCGTGCGGCGCCGCAACCGCAGCGCGTGGCGGAAATACACCACCGCTTCACTGACCTTGCCGCAGCAGAGCGCAATGTCCGCGAGGCGGTCCATCGCGGCGCTGCGGAATACGTCGTCGTCGCCAGCTTCAAGACATTCAACCACGTCCTCGTAGCACTGCTGCGCTTCCTGCAGCCGGTGGCACGCGGTGAGGGCATTTCCCAACGCCTGCATGACAGTAGCAATAGTGTCAGGAGGAACACCGCCAGACGATGGAGTCACCTCAGCCCGAAGTCGCTGCAGCAGCTGCACCGACTTTACATAATCCCCACTGCGTGTTAACGCCTCTGCATACTTCACACGAAGGCGCAGCCGCACGACATCGACACTCTCTTTGAGTCTCGTGTCAGCATTCCGCCCATCATCATCATCATTGCCACCACCATAATAAGTAGAAACGGCTGTGCCGTATTCGTCAAGGCTTCGTGTCAAACACAGAGCCGCCGCCCGGTGACGTCCCTGCGCGGTGAGAATATCCCCGTGTGCCTCTAACACCTGAGAGGTGAGGCGTGCCCGCGTCCACCGCCACGCACGCTGCAGCGCGGCGTCGTTTTCTGTACCGCCAGACGGAGAAAGAAGGGAAATCTCAGCAAGAAGTTCCTCTACCATGTGTATTGCGTGTTCAAGAAAGGGGTTTTCTCCTACAGCGGGTCTGGGATGCTCCACGCCGAGGATGAGGAGAAGCCGCACGAGCTTCAGCTGCGCCTGTGCAAAGGCGGGGAGTGATTCCGGCAGGTGGCACAGGTACTGTTCCATTGCCTCAGTCGCCAGGCAAAGGTGCTCCGCGGTACGCCGCAGCACTGTCTTTACCGCAGCGCCTTCACGCAGCAGCATCTCCGCGTACTCGAGCGCCACGCAGCCAACACCCTTGAGGAGGAGCTGCCGCTCCGCTTCGGTGAAAGGACGGCACTGCATCAGCGCCTCTAGCGCGGACTCCATGCAGCGCAAATCCGCCCG